CTTTTTCTTTTTTTTTTAAATTCGAACCCTAGCATATTAATCACACTGTAATTCCCCATCTGATAAATCTAAAATCTCTGCCCTATCTTAAATTCTTTACATATTATATGGAGAGTCTATTGATCCTGGGGGTAATACAGACAAATTAAAAAATGAATATGTACCTTTTTCTTCAAATCTGTAATAATAAAAAAAAGAATTTCGGAGAAAAACTAAAGCAAGTTGTAGCTTCTGAGAAATAGGATTCAGGAAGACATTTACCATTTCTTTGATAAATGTGTATGTCAATAGGAAAGAAAATGGACACCTGAATGTGTTACTCCCATGATAAAGAAAGGAAAAGGTCATGGGGGACCTTGAATGACAAGTGAGGAGAGTGTATTTATTCTTTATTACAATGCCTTTCAGTGCAGGATCACATACTTAGCATTTTTCTTTTCTAACAAAATTACAACCCATGTGTTCTGGATCTTGGAAGGAAACAGAAAGGAATCATAATTGGGATACTTCCTATTCTTTCCTTGTCATAGTGTATGATCTATACTGCTAGCAGCAGGTGCTCATGACCTCTGAGTAATAGAATGTTAACACCTGCTAATAAGCTGGACACATATGCAGACAGTTATTGAGAAGTGATTTATAAATTACATAATTCTGTTCTTAAGATTTAAGGACATGCTTGGCATTTTTGCCCAGGCACACAGTTGCCAGCTAAGGCTCCACAATTTCACTAGCAGGAAGGGGACCGGATGGAGTAGGGAGGGGCAGATTGAGAGATAGGGTTAGAGATGGACCAAAAGTTAAGAAACATCTTGTGAGGGGACATGACTCAAACGACTCCACGCTCCCATTTGCCAGCAGGTCCCTAAACAGGAAATCACAGGGGCTGAGCAGATCTCAATAAGCCTCCCTCCAGCACTAGGTCTGTTCCTGTTCCAACAGGATCTGCTCTGAGGAAGAGAAGTGTCCTCCCGTGACTATCAATCCAAGGAGGCTCTTCCCTTCAGCGAGGGTTATCTTCTCATCTCCAGAAAAAGAAATGGAAGAAAGGTACATTTATGAATTATTTCTTTTTGAAGCTCTATTGGATTTTTCCTCCTAGTGCACATCATATAATTCCATCTGGGGATGGAGTATTCAGGGAGCCACGGGAGCTCCAGCAAGAAAAGAGCAGAGAATAGAGACCAGCTCCCTCCTGGCACTTTAGATGTTGGCAGCCTCACTGGTGGGAGATCTGAATTGTAAGACAACACAGTTACCCATGTTGAATCTCTCTCCATTCTCCTCTTCATCCCAACAATCAAATTTGCTGTGGTGGTGAAATATATTAATTTCCTGATTTCAGGAGAAAGAGAGGATACATCCAAGTATCCTGAAACTAGGTGCTGAGATTCATCCAGTCATCTGTTTTACTCACCTTTTGAAACTTCTTTCCTTTGTGTGTCATTCAGGATCTTAGCAGAAAGCAAATGGCCTAAAAAGAATGATTTGCAGTTTGCTTACAGGACATTTACCAATGTGGGCAGGATTAAGAATTCTTACATGGGGATGGTGACCACTACTCCCCAAGGAAAGCAATAGCAAGGAGCCTTAAAGTATCTGAGCTTGAAAGACAAGAGGCAAAAAAATTGCAGAACTCAAGAGGACTGGGGCTGTAGCTATAGTTGCCGCTGTGGCTGTATGAGAGGACCAGGTGACGGGGGCCATGTCCTTAGATAGAGTAACAGTCACTGCAACTCACAACCTGGGAGAGAGCCAGGAAATTAAAATCCCCAATCCCTCTCCTCCCACCTCCAGCTCCTGTCAGCGTCTCCTTTCACTGAAAGCACCCAGGGGCCAGAGGAAGAGGGAGCCTGTCCACAAGGCACAGAGACATCTCCACCTAGATGCAGGAGGGTAGAGAAGATAGAAATGTGACCTGATGGCAAATGCAAAAGATCCATCTCTTCTCATAGCTTCTTCCACGTTGGAATTTCTTGGGACTTTCTCTTTCTCCATGCAATTGGATCACCTCGCACCTCCTCATTGTCCTATAAAATAATCCTCCTATATTGTTTGTTTGAATATATTTGTTAGCACATCTTAATCTAGTCACTTCAGTCCCTCAGTCATAAATCATAAATGCCTTGAGAATGGAATGTGGATTTTGTTTTTAATGGTGGGAGATACAAAGGTTTATATAAATATTTTAAGTCTATAATTTTTGTTAATCTAGAAAGAAATCCATTATAACAATGATTTAAACAGGACTGGACTTGTGACCCCAAAGATCAGATAACAGAGTTCTTCCAACCTGCTGTTCTCCTTACCCAGAAAGGTGACTTCACCCTCTTTCATAGCCCCCACGCATCAGCTTGCCTGGCAGGGGCAGAGAGAGACAGGTGGAGCGCAAGAAGAAAGTGCCTCACATCTGCTTGTCTCCCATTGGTTGGGCCGACTTCATGGTGACCTACAGCATAAACATAGAACACTGGAAAGTGGGGTCATTTTCTCCGAAGTCTCTGGCTGAAGTTCTGAGAGGAAGAGAACGGATAAAGGGGCAACAAACTGTCTCTTCAGTCCTTGACTCTCAGAGTCTGTGCTCACATGGAAATTTTTAAAGAAGCCGCTGTCATAATGAATGATGAGGCAAGGCCCAGGGGATGGGGCTGATAATGGAATTTCTTTATTATTTATTTTTATTTTTATTTATTTATACAAGCACTGGGTACAGTCAGAAGCGCAGGAGGGTGAGAGAATTCACCAGAGCCAGAGCGGGGAGCAGAACAGGCAGACTGATGAAGTACACTGCTGAAGGGAGGAGCGGGCGGCAGGAGAGGTCTGTGCGCCACGTGGGACCCTCATCCGGCGGCTGGGAATCGAACCGGTGCTGCAGAGGCTGCGGGCAGCTTTGCAACCCAGCGCTCAACCACTGCGCCATCGGGGAGGCCCTGATGCTGGAATTTCTATAGCCAATGGGCTGCCAGGAAAGTGTCTTTGACTCTTTAATCCTCAGTTTCCTCCTCTGTTAAACGAGGATATTATAATAGATTGGCTCAAGACATGCATGTGGTAAAGGACATATAATGGACATATAGTGAACAACAACAACCAATGAATCCAGGCAATTCTGGTCATCATTGAGCTTGGAGTTTAGTAAGGGACAAGCAAAGAAACAAAAGGAAATACTTGAAAATCTGAGTTGCAAACTGTGATTGTTCCATGAGTGAGAAGCACAGGTGCCTGGTGGAAGACAACGAGGACTGCAGGAACTAGAAGACACACGGTGGATGAGTCTGCCCTTGCCTCTCTGCCCCGGGAGTATCCTCTTCCCACTTGGAGGCCTCCTACCACATGAGTCCACTGTGGTCTGGAGCAAAAACTGTCTTTTCAGACAAAGGAAAGAAAGGGCTCGTGCTTTTGAGTCTTGCTCCTGGTTGACTTCTAAATCTATCCCCTTTTCTCCTGATTTGCTAGTCTTGTCTTTCTTGCTGGGTGAAATTTGCTTCATCTAGAATAAAATCCCATGATTTTGATGTTCCCCTTGAGATTTGTAGGAGCGTGACTGGCTGCCTTCTCTCCCCACTCTGCGTGAGCAGCTGACGCTCCACCCGGGCAGTGGGGCTGCAGGGCTGGCCGAGGACCAGGACCCCCACACAGACCTGTGGTCCAGAGCCAGGCTCCACGCCTGTTTGCATGAGACCTGGCACAAGTCCTCTCCTCTAGGTGCTGCACTGTCCTTCCCTGTAAATGGGAAGAAAAGTACTTCCCTCGTTGGGGTCTTAAGGGGGTTAAGAGGTTACACCTAAAGACCTCTGAACCAGCTACTGGTCTCACACAGATGCGTCAGTCCTTCTCCAGATTGGAATTCACACGAGCATCTATGTATTCATCCCAAGCTCTGCACAGTGTAGAAACAGGCAGTTTTTCTATTCCCCACCCCTAATTCAAAGAAACCACATCACAAACGCTTAACAACAAAGCAAATGCCACTCCATATAATGTGGGGAGAGAGGGTGGTGACTTTCTATTTTACAGCTCATTTCTAATCAGTCACTCATCTCCCTTAGCTATTCTCACGTCATATGTCTCTCCATTCAGCCCCTTTGCCACTTCTTTCTCTCCTTCTCTGACTTCTCCTCTAACATGCTGAGAACTTTAGAAAAGCACTGAATCCTCTCACCAAATTGTGTAATTAAACCCCTGAAGGACTCCCTTGAGCCACACGCTGGCCCTCCACACGTGCAGATTCACAGGAACCGTCACCAGTTATTCATGCATAATGACTTCTCTCGTGTAGCATTTCCACAAAGGAAATAATGAGGAATGACTTTATCTTATTTTTTGTAGGTGTTTTTTTCTGGTTACTAACATTTGAAATGTTTATTCCATTGAACCCAAATTTCTACTACATTTAGGCTCCCATTCATTCATTCATTCATTCATTTTCTGATTAAAAATTTCTTGACTCCCCACTATGTCCCTCACGCAGAGCCTGGCAATGGACATTCTAATGGACAGTATAGGAGCATATCCTGTCCCCATAAAGCTAACACACTGGGCCATTTCTAGCCTGATAAGACCAGCCGTAGTCACATCTATAATAACCCGAGGTCATATCTACTCCATAGCCCTAAATCATAATCTCCTTTCTCCCTGGTGGGTGGACAATTCACAGCCTATAGGTCATGTCTAGAGCTTCTGACTTCCTGCCCCTAAGAGGAAACCTCAGTCCCAGAGTAGAAGAAATGCTGAGGTCAGAGTCCAGTAGCAATATCACACAGCCTACCCAGACTTTTCTGCTCCTGCCTTTAGGGAACAAGGGATGACCTAGGATGGTGAGAGCAGATGTTTGGATCACAGAATAATCTCATGATAGTAGAAGGTCCTTGTTGCAGTGGAGATAGTCCAGTTCTTAGAGTCAGTTTGAACTGGATTGGAGTGAAGGTTACAACATGCCAAGGTTACATGGCCTTCGGGAAGTATGTTAATCTAGGCAAGTCTCCATTGCCCTCCTCCATAACAGGGACAATTTTTTCCACCAGTAGCGTGGCCGAGATCAGTGATCAGACAGCAGATGATCAAATCTTGTCTGTGTTCCCAGGGGCACCAGTGGAGCATTTCTGAACATGGATCCAACTGTCCCAGCCTGGAAAACCGACCTGACACCATTAAATTCGAGTGACCAGGCCTTTCCTGAAGCCACTGATATAGTAACCCTGGTCCTTGTCTTTCTGGATTTCTTCATCACCCTGGTTGGGCTGGCAGGAAATGCTGTTGTGCTCTGGCTCCTGGGCTTCTGCATGAAGAAGAACACCTTCTCCATCTACGTCCTCAACCTGGCAGTTGCTGACTTCCTCTTTCTCTCCTTAGCGGTTATGGACATCCTGAAGGTAATCATAGAGTATTATCAGCCCATCAAAATCGCCATTCCTGATTTTTTGATAATAGCATCAATATTTACTTATATTGGAAGCCTGAGCATTCTCAGCGCCATCAGCACTGAGCGCTGCCTGTCAGTCCTGTGCCCCATCTGGTACCGCTGCCACCGCCCAAGACACCTGTCAGCTGTCATGTGTGCCCTGCTCTGGGGCCTGTCCCTGCTGTTGAGTGTCGTGGAAGGGAAATTCTGCGCCTTGCTGTTCGGGGATTTTGATGTCATTTGGTGCCAAGTGTTTGATTTCATCACTGCAGGGTGGCTGATTTTCTTATTTGTGCTTCTTTCTGGGTCCAGCCTGGCCCTGCTGTCCAGATTGCTGTGTGGCTCCCAGCGGATTCAGCTAACCAGGCTGTATGTCACGGTCATCCTCACAGTGCTGGCCTTCCTCCTCTGCGGCCTGCCCTTTGGCATTAACTATTTCCTCTTAATCTGGATTAATGCATACTCCAGACACTTCTCTACAGTTGTAACTGTCTTGTACTGTGTCAACAGCTGTGCCAATCCCTTCATTTACTTCTTCGTTGGCAACTTTAGGCATCGACAGCGTAGGCGGCAGACCCTCAAATTAGTCCTCCAGAGAGCTTTCCAGGACATTCCTGAGGGAGATGAAAGTGAAGTCAGCCTTCCCCAGGAGACCCTGGAAATGTCAGGAGGCAGCCAGGTATCCTGATTCAGAGCTCGGCTTCAGTCATACAGAAGTGACTTTGAGGGCCAGCTCCTTCTTTTCTCTTCCCCCTTCTGATATCCTCATTTAGTGATGTTACAATTTTAACTCACAAGCTCTTGAACACTCTGATACATTTTTTCCAGTCTTTTTTTTTTTCTCTTCACTTTTCTATTGGGAAGTTTATATTGACATATTTTCAGGTTCACTGATTCTTTCAAAGGCTTTCTCTCATCTACTGATAAGCCCATCAAAGGCTTTCTTCATTTTTGTTAAATGTTTTTATTTCTACATTACCTTTTTCTTAGAGTTTTCAGTTGTTTCTTATATTTTTCATCTGCTTGTACATTATCCATTTTTTTCATTAAAATTACTAGCATATTATCAGTTATTTTAATTTTCCAGTCTGACCATACCAAATTTTCTGTCATATACTAAATTTTTTACTTCTTATAGAAGGATCAGTTGATCCTATTGTTAATGGTGAAAAATTAAAAAGTAGAAATATATCTTCACTATCAAAACTATAATCATAAGTTAAAAAAAATTTAGAAGAATTAAAATAAGTTGCTGCTCTGGAGAATAGGATCCAGAAAGTCTTTTGCCATTTACATAATATACTTCTGTGTCACATGGAAAGAAACTAACCTGCATGCTATACTACACAAAAAGAAAACAATTGGGCCAGAAATGGAGGGGGTGAATGACCAGCAAAAAGGGTGTGCTTTAAAAAACCTCCCATTGGAGGGCAAAAGGTTCATATTGCTTGGTATTGCTGCCCATACACTAAATTGACAGTAAAAGACTCTACAACTTGTAGGAAGTGTGCCAGACAGGGTAGGCATGGGCAAATTAGGAAATAAAAGAATCAAATCTAATATTAGAAACATCACTAGAGGGCTCGTGACTAAAAACTGCACAGGTTCACTTACCAGCAGGCCCAGTATGAAAATCACAGGAGCTGACCTCCAGCCTCCCTCCAGCACCAGATCTACTCCTGCTCCTGCAGGTTCCTCTCCAGGGCACAAGATGTCCCAAGTGACTGTAAATCTCAGAAGCTTCTTCCCTTCAATACAGATAAGCCTGTCACCTTCAACAGGAAGAATAGATGAAAAGCATATTTATCAATTATTTATTTCCAAAGCCACAGTTGAGTTTATCCTCTCAGCGCACATCCACATTCACTCCACTGGGACAGGAGCTCCAACAGAGAAAGTCTGAAAAAAAAGGATGTTTCCTCTTGGTGCTTTGGAGGTTGGCAGCCTCATCCATGGAGATCTGAAAGAGTAAAGGAAAACACCTTCACTCCAGTAAAGAAATTGTTCCTCTTTATTGGACCTTTTCCCTAGTTGTCTTCAATCTCGAGCATTCAAATTTGCTACCATCATTACTAATGTGTTGATTTCCTGATTTGGGGGCAAGATAAGTTACGTGTGTATAACAGTATTAAAGTGCTATAAATTACGCAGTCATCTGTTTTATTTGCTTTTTGGAAGTTCTCTTCATTTCTATATCTCAGGATCCCAGCAATAAACAAAAGACTTCTAAAAGAGTGATTGATGAGAAGAGTTTAATTAAGGGACAATTTACCAAAATGACCAGGTTTGAAGAAACGTCACATGGGGTGGTGGCTACTGTCCTCTAAGGAAAGTAATAGCAGGGAGGCTTAACATTACTGAGCTCGAAAGACAAAGGGAAGGATATTGTGGCTGTAGTTGTAGTTGTAGCTGCAGCTATAGAGGAAGACCACCAGACAAGGACTGTGTCTTCAGCCCCTGCCAACTCATAGCCTGACCAGCAGAGAACCAGGAAGCGAGAACTCCAAGTCCCCTTTCTCCTGCCTCCACTTGCTGTCATTGTCTCCCTTTCAGTGAAAGCACCAGGAACCAGAGGAAGAGGGAGCCCAATGTGGGAAGCACAGAAATGTCTCCTCCCAGAATACAAAAGTATGGAGAAAATGGAGAGGAGATCTGAAGCCAAACAGAGAAGATCCATCACATCTTATAACCTGCTCTCAGTTGATATTTCCTGGGACTTTTTCTATCTCCATGTGATGGATCAATTTCTCTTTGTATCTCCTCAATTTCACTTTTATTTGTTTCTACTCCTCTATCGAGTGCCACCTCTTTGGCCAATCCCTCACAATTATCACCAATGTCTTGAATATGGAGTGTATGTTTAAAGGAAAGAATACACAGGTATTTATATATACTCAAATTTCATGATTTGGGATGCTCTGGAATGAAATTCTTTATCACAGTAACTTAAACAAGAGAGAAGTTCCTGGGACTGAACTGGTGAGTCCAAGAATCAGACATCAAGGAAGTTTGAACTTGCTGTTACCCTTCCACAGAGAGGTGACTTCATCTTGGGGAGGGAGGGTCCTACCCGGCTCCCCAGTACATCAACATTCCATTGAAAGGAAAAGAATCCAGGGAAGGTCCAGCTTAGGAGCTAGTAATCATTCTGCTCACCTCCCATTACCCAGCATCTAGTCACAGGTGCTATCCAGCATGAAGAGAGCCTGGGATCAGAATTATTATGGAAGAGAGGAAGGAAATATATATGTGGAACAACTAGCAGGTCCTGTTACCCTGAATCTCTCTCACTACCTGTGTACACATGAAGACTTTTCATGGGAGTTCCTCCCATAATGGGAGATGTGGCAAGAGCAGTGGGGAGGTCTCAGCAGGTTTCCGGAGCCAGGGCTGGTACTGGTGATGTGATCTCAGGAAAATCCTTTTGACTCTTCAAGCCTCAGCTTCTGCCTGTGTTACATGAGGATATTCCAATAGTCATGTCTCCAATAGTCATGTCTCTACGGGATATTCCAATAGTCATGTCTCTACGGGACTTGCACTAGATGCTGAGTACACAATAGTGAGCAACAACAACAAAAACCAGACAAGTCTAGGCATTATTAAGCTTTGGGTTTAATAAGTGAGACAAGACAACCAAAAAAGACATGCACCTAAAAAACAAAGCTTTGAACTGTTCGGTTTCATGAATAAAAAGCACAAGTTACCCTAGTAGAGAAAAACAGTCTGTGCTTTTCTTCAGCCTCAACAGGTACACCGGGACTGCAGGAATGAGGAGAACATGTAGGGGTAATTCAGTCCTCGCAGCTAACTCACTACGCTGTGGTCCTGTCTGCCTCCACCTCTGACATTCCTGCCCTGTGTGAACCCTGTGATCTGGAGTGATTGGACCTTTTCAAGAAGTGACCTTTTGGCTTTGGTCTGTCCTGAATTGTGTTCTTTGTTCCAGATTTGATGGGCTTCAGTTCCGTGCCATTCTAGTGAATAAAACTATCCTCGTTAATAAAATCCACACGTGAATGAGCATTTCAGATATCTCTGAGAGTTACTTGCTTCCATCCTCCACCACTCTCCATGCATAGTACACATGTTACAGGGCAGGGTGAAGGTCACTCCAGGAACCCCTAAGCCTGTTCGCTTTAAATAGGTTCTGCCATCCACCATATCAAGACAAAACATACTCTAGTGTGTAAGACCTTCAATAGAAAAAACTTTCATACAATTAGTGTGCAATAAAGAGAAGAGAAAGAATATAGTTTCCAAATCAAGCACCTAAAATTACCCATCCCCTCATGGGTAAATGCCCAGGCAAACAAGGCAAGATATGTTGTCCTCTCTCCAGAGTCATATGAATAAGGATGCCAAGTGGCAGGAAGCAGAAAAGAAAAATTAGGACCTGAGGAGGATGACCATACACACAGCCTGGAAAACCATTTCTGCCATAAGACACACTGGACCATGACAAACAAGGACAAAGTGGACCCACATAGAAACACAAACAGAAGAACCAGTTGTGGGATATTGATAAAGTCAAGACATTGACACAGTTCAAAGTCACCTTTGATAAATGGTGAGACACAATATATTCATTCCTTCAAGAACACCCAGCTAGGCATACATGATGACCACTGTGAACTCAGTTGGTGGCAACAATATCAGATGGATCAAGGATAGACAGGCAGTACTCAGAGCTTATGGTGTTGAGTGGATTCAATGGTGCAGGAAAAGAACTTCACAGGAGTCAGGAAGCTAAAATCGCCATCATCATAATAAGAAAAGGTGCATTTATGGCAGTATCAAATGCATAATCATGCAAATTAGGAGGTTACTGACCTTGGCCAAGTTGAGGACGTAGATGGAGAAGATGTTCTCCACATGTAGAAACCCAGAACCAGAGGATGATCGCAGAGACCAGCAGCCCACCCAGGCAATGGTGATGGTCCCCAGAAGGTCTAAAATTAGGAGCTAGAGTCATGCCTGGAGGACTGGCCTGCTCACTGACCTCCGTACTTCGACTTCAATAATCTGACCTGAGAGGACTGTATGCATGTTCGAAATATTCTGATGTCCCTGTGAGCACAAACAATGGTCATCTGCTATGTGAATTAGTGTCCATGATTCTTCCCATTTCACAGATGTGACTACTTGAAGGAAATGAAGCACAACAGAAAGGCATATCAAAAAAGTAAAAGGTTCTTTATCCTAATCAGACCTTCCACAGTCAATGTTCCAGTGCTGAAGGCTGTCAGGAGGAAACTTCCTGTCTCCTGTCTCTTCCTGAGGGTACACCAGGTCCCTCACATTCCCTACCCACAGATGGAGCCATGTAGACCTGGGCTAATTGAAAAAACTACCACTGACTTTGAAAGAAAGTAATTCTTTAGCATATCCCTATCTTTCCTCTATTATTTTTTACCAGAGTTGGTAAGCAGCCCAGGCTGATAGAAAAGAATGTCTTCCAAAGTGACACAGGCAAGAGTTTAACTCTTTGTCTTGTTGGTGGAGATGGGGGAGCATGAGTTTCAGGGGAGACTGGTGTCTGAGGAAGGCTTATCAAGATGTCATATAGTCCTGAGACTTCCTTCCCAATGACCTGATAATCACTAGAGGCCAGATTCACTAAACACACAAAAACTCACAAGATGATCAACCACAACCTCTGCCTACCCTCACCCAGCCAGTGTTCTTCTTATAGAGAATCATTGTTCTAGAACCTTCAGAGGCAAATAGTCTGGGCAGCACTGTATAGTAATGTATTCTGCACCTGGAGGTCCTAGAGCTAAAGAATAAAGTACATCCTCTTTTGCTGGGTGTTGTAAGTGCTCAGTGGCCTGGCCTCTCCTTGTTTGTTTTGTTTGTTTCTGGCTGTTCTTTCTTTAGTCATGGAAATAACAGACTAGAGCAGGTAGGTGTGAGGTGCCCCTATTTAAAC